ATGCTTCACACAATGCAGACATCGATTGACGAAAATCGCCTGTATTTGGATGCTATTAAACATGAAAGGTACGACTTTATATTATTACGTTTAAGTTTTTTCTTTTTTTTAATGCGTTTAAGTTTTTTTTTTAATTCGCTTAAGTTTTAGAGGATAAATGATTGCTCAGGCGATACCAGATAAGCTAGCATCCATATGTAATGAGGACAGCGAGCCCAAATTGGTCGTTCAGCGGAGGATTAAAGGACCTGATGTAGTTGTGTTGGGCATGTGAATGCACATCTGTAACATGAGAGCTCTGCACCGGCATTGCACGTGAATGAGCTTTCTGGTATACTCTTCAGGATGAGAATGTTAATTCGCCGGATTATAGATACCAGCGCGAGCTGAATAATCGCATCCGTCGTGAGCAGGAATCGGATTATCAGCGTAGTTTGGCAGCTGATCGTGAGCGACTGAAAGAACGGAAGCGGATTGAGTCGGAGAGAAAGCTGGCGGAAAAGAATGAAAGAGAAAAAAGAAAGAGGGAGCAAGAAAAGAAAGAAGTATGCTTTCCCCTTCTTAAATGTCCAGATATGGCTGCATCTTCGTGTTTTAGCGGTATGAGTGAAAGTACCGTTAGCAGGGAGTTTTTTTCTTTGCCGGTTTACTTGTTTTTGATAAGTTCAGCAGACTTAAGCCGATGGTTCGAATTTAGGGAATGTTGTTCTGTTTTGCGATTCGTTATTTTATTTCGAGGATAAATTGGTAACTATTTCGTTTATTTCTAGAATTTTTGTTTTGTCTCTTGAACTTGGTTTGGTTTTCCTCCGAAATTTGTTATAAATACCCCTCTGTGGTCTCGGGATCAGGTGTAGTGGATTCATGGGATTAGTAAAAGCAGTCTTTTTTTTTTATCATAGTTCCGTTTTTTATTACCCCTGTTTGTGTCCCTTGCAGATGAGCTACTTTGTTCTGCCTAAATGCATAAACTTATTCAGAGCGAGATAATACAGCTAACTGATGAACGCGGAGCTCGCTGCTCCACGGCTTTTCATTTTTTATGCATTTTGTGCTGTGTAACAGCGTTACAAAACGCATATTGCCACTGTGTGTGTTTGTGTGTGTACGTGTGTGTGTGTGTATATATATATGTGTGTGTGTGTGTGTGTGTGTGTGTGT